TTGATAAAACCTCACGTTCCCGCAAAACTGCCATAGTTATTAAATTTAAGCCTTAAATTCACAGAATTCAAAATTAGAAAAATTAATAACATTGACGTTGCTATTTATAGGTTATATGACTTTGTTTATTGTTTAATACAAATCAGTAAATCCAACAGTGATTCTTACTCCCCAATTACCAAACTTCCCGGGTGTACTAACCCAACCTACAAACCACAAACAAAAAACTACCAAGTGTTCTGAGCATCTTCCTAAATTCCAATATCAGGAATTTACAGATAGAAAGCTGAAATTTTCAGCGATTCTTATCCTTATGGATATAACCCTGACTTGGGAGGCTACAGGAGAGCCTCGGCAGGTGGCGGATGGCCGGACGGCCTATGTTTTATAGGTTATCACCGAATAACCAATAAGGTGACGCTGACCAACCCCCCAATCCAAGGTGTAAGGCGATCCGTGCCGAGGGATGCATGACGATGGGAGAGCACCGCCTCAAATGGAGCCTTGAAGATACCAGGCGACCTCATCAAGTAACTAGCCTTACCACGTCGTGCGGGGCTCCGACGTGGCTGACCTTTATTTCCCTAGCTATTCGTGGGAACAAACATGGATAAGAAAAAATCAAAAAACAAAGAAAAGCGGGACGACACCGCTAAACCAACTGCTGACCGAATGGAGCATGACATCCAAGACAGTCAGCAGGCGGGACCTTCAAACCCTCCGAGATCTCCTCAGAGACAAGAGGGCCCTGCAAAAGATAAGAAGGGGGAGAAACCCCAAAGAAGAAAGGCTAATCCTAGGAAAAAGCCATACTACCCACCTCTTGGTCAACCGGGAGTGCTTGATGACCCACTGAGAAAAGGCCTCAGTGGAGCTGGAGTGCGATGGTACCTCAGGTTTCTTCAACAGGGCATGACACCAGAAGAAGCCAGAGAGAATGCACTGACCAAGAAAGTGCAGACACCAGACAAGGCGCAGAAAAGGGGGCCCAAAAACATTATCCCTCCGCACAAAGCGGACGTGAAAAGAAAGAGGACGGAACCACCTCATGCTGACAGAGCCGCTGTGCCAAGCACCAGCTACGCCGAGTCAGCAAAAACCATAAAAGTGGCAGCACTCTCCGCGGCATTCCCTAAGGAAACCCTCAGTGCAGAAGAACTTTCTGCCCTAGAGGACGCCATTGTGGAGGAAATGATGAAAGGGGCGGAACATAAACTCCAATTTGGAGGCATACATTTCCGACCAAGCATGCTGATGATTGATTGCCTCACCAAAGAAACAGTTGAGTGGCTGATAGAACACGTCCCCAGGTTGGAAACCTGGCAGGGAGGAGAGCTGATGGTGTGCCTGGGAGACGACATCTCAAAGGCGCACACCATCACAGTCTTCTTCCCAAAAAGCAAGGGGCAAAACCCTCCTAAAATCCTAAGCCTAGTGAACACCCAAAACGAAGGGCTTAGCACTCAGCTGTGGAAAGTAATGGGCTGCAAGGACGAGGGTAACGGCCAGCTACTCAACATCGGCATAGACGATGGGTCCTGCGAAACCATTAGGAAAATGGGGTACAACCTCTTCTATAGGTTCGGGAAAATCCCCGTACACGACCTAAAGAAGAGAAAGGGTAAAGAGGAAACCAACGAGGAATCGAAGGAGCCCACCTCCTCGGAATTCAAGCCGGAGTCTCCTTCAGAAGAAGACGAAGGGAAAGTGGACGAAGGCCTTGAGGAGGGGGAGAAAACTCTCACTCCGACAGAGGAAGTTCCCAGTGAGGAAGAAAAAATGCTTCTGGGCGATTAGGAGGTCATCACTCCACCACACCAGAAACAACAATAACAAGTAAGATGGCGAATTACACCACAATAGACCAGGTGAACGCGCATCACGCTAAGAGAGCATCTGCTGCCATAGCGCGGTTGTTCACGTCCGCACACCTACTTCGCTGGAGATGGGCAAGCACCACCAGAAGAAGTACAGAGACTAGTCGAGTACTGCAACAGGAGCAAACTACCGCTCCTAATTGGCTGTGACGCCAACGCCCACAACACCATCTGGGGAAGTACCGACACAAACCTAAGAGGTGAGCAACTGTTAGAATTTATCTTTCAAACAAACCTAATGTAGGAAATACACCAACATTTGTTACTAGGGTCAGACAGGAGGTGTTAGACATAACACTTTGTTGTCCAAATATTGACCAAATGATCAGGAATTGGAGAGTCTCGAATGAACCCTCTCTCTCTGATCATAGAATCATAATATTTGAAGTGAAAGGAGTGGAGCCAGTGGAGGAACGAACTGCCTCGTATAGAAACCCCAGAAACACAAACTGGGAAGAACACACAAGCAAACTGCAACGCACCTCAAACAAAATAAGGTTAGCTGCAGGAACACACGTGAAGTAGAAGAAACCCTCCAAATCCTTAACGGAGCAATCATGGAGGCTTACGAATCCAGTTGTCCTGTGAAGGAACAAGTAAACAAAAAAGGTTGCCCATGGTGGAATAGTCACCTGTCACAACTTAGATCCGAGAACGAAACTCCCATACCTGAGGAACATTCGCCTCGATGGAAGCAGGCTTCACTGAAAATAAGATGTTAAATTCCTAGGAATAACCCTAGACTCTGAACTCCTTTGGAACCGACACATAGAGAACATAACAAACAAAGCAATTTCGGCACTCATGGTATGTAAAAACATTGCAGGCAAAACTTGGGGTTGTAACCCATCGATCCTACGATGGATGTATACCATGATAGTGAGACCTATCATCACCTACGGAGCGGTAGCCTGGTACAGCCGAACCCAGCTAGTAATGGCTAGGAACAGCCTAGGAATGGTACAAAGACTCGCATGTCTATGCATAACAGGAGCAATGAGAACATGCCCAACCGCGGCAATGGAAGTCATCCTAGACCTAACACCACTTTACACAATAGTGAAGCGGGTTGCCAGTGAATCATCTCTAAGTGCGCGTGCACACTGGCGAGCGATGAGCGGTGCGCGTTGAGCGGCGAGCGTTCAGCTGTGCTAACGCTCGCGGTGTTGTGTGCACATTAACAAGTTTACTTCATGAGCGTTTTTAGTTTAGGATTGTCCTAGTCTACTTTCATGCTTGAACAGTTATTAGTTGAAAACCCACTTTCAGCTCGATTAATTTTAATTAAAAAGAAAAGAATTGCATCAATTGAATCAAAGTCGTCTAGTATTTGGAGAATTCCATCATTCGTATCATGGACTTCGATGTTATCAGCTAGATTTTTTGAGTTCCTTCGCATTTCCGTTGAAACTTTCAACTAAATTTTCGCCAAAGTAAAAATTTACATTCCAATCTACTCTATTCGTGTCGCGGTGCCGCTTGCAATTCGATGAAAAACCAAAACAAAGTGGCGCGATGCGATACCGCGCAACGCCAATGCTCATCGCTCATACGCTCACCGCTCGCCAGGGTGCACGCGCACTAAGACTGGCGAAGATAAGTCTACAAGGGAAAACGCACTTTGGCAGAGCTTTCCCTCTCCCAAACTGTGCACACCTCATGGACTTATCAAAAGACGCGATTGTTGATAAATTCAGTTTCGAGAAAAACTTTTCCATCGAACTAAGTACAAAGAACAGATGGAACATAGAATGTATCCAGTCCCTTAAAGCAAACACCATCAAATGGTTCACAGACGGCTCCAAAACTGCTGAGGGGACAGGAGCCGGAGTATTCGGGCCACGAACCAGATACTCGGAGCCAATGGGCAAAACACCAAGCATATTCCAAGCCGAACTACATGCGATCGGAAAATGCGTGCAGTTCAACCTGAACAGAAAGTACAGAAAACGAGAAATTGTAATAATGTCTGACAGCCAAGCAGCTATTAAAGCATTGAGCTCGCCGGTAATCAATTCTAAGATAGTATGGGAATGTCTGCAGAAACCCAATGAGCTGGGGAAGGAAAACAAAGTAACCCTACTCTGGGTTCCTGGACACATAGGAGTCGAGGGCAATGAATGCGCAGACGAACTTGCAAAAACGGGAGCGGCCACTCCCTTCACTGGGCCAGAACCATTCTGCGGCGTCGAAAATGCGCACCTTCAAGAAATCCTCAAAAAGGAAGAGAACCGGCTAAGGAACAAACAATGGCTAGACCAACCAGGACTACGACAGGCCAAAGATCTACTGGGTAGCTACAACCAAAAAAGATCTGAACTGCTGGTCAACCTTAGCAAGAAAAGTCTCAAAACTCTAACTGGGTTTCTCTCGGGACATTGCAGACTGGATAAGCACCTACATAATCTGGGGTTGGAAAAAGGTAACACTTGCAGATTCTGTGAAGACGGTGAAGAAACACCTCACCATCTTCTACTGAACTGTGATGCCGTAAGCCGCTCAAGAATGAAGAGCTTGGGAAGTCCCCTTATACAGCTGGAAGACATTCCAGCCCTGGAACCGCTAGACATCCTGATATTACTAAAGGACCTAGGACTAGAGGGGCTGCTTTAAGTAGGAAACCCGAACTTAGCAGCAAAAGGAGGGGTACAATAGATCAACCTTGGTCGCAGTGCACTGACACCTCCAACACATACATACATACATACATACATACATACATACATACATACATACATACATACATACATACATACATACATACATACATACATACATACATACATACATACATACATACATACATACATACATACATACATACATACATACATACATACATACATACATACATACATACATACATACATACATATATACATACATACATACATACATACATACATACATACATACATACATACATACATATATACATACATACATATCCTTATGGAGGAGTAGAATCCTTGAAAGATCGCAGCTCATTTGGACTTATAGTTCATGGAAATCGCGTTAAGCAATGAGGGATGAATTCTTCAATTTTTCAATTTCCTGACGTCCTTTCTTCAAAGATTTCAGCTTCAAATCTCAGATTAATTCTGTATATGGAGTTTGGAGGGTCTCAAATGCTCATTGAAACACAAAACCTCGATGTAAAAAAAATTAAAATTTTATCGTGTTAGGCCAGTTTAAGGCAAGAACTGTAATTCTAAACTAAAAGTCGGAAAATGAGCTCATTAGTCATACGATTTCATTTATTTTTTCAACTCTTTCAGGAAACACCCTGTATTAAGTGACATAAGGAAATTAAATTTTTAACACAACAAAAAATGTCCCTTATTTATTAAAATCATTTTGAATCTGAATTTTCTTATCTTTATCAAAAGACAAGTGTGTAGTAAGTGTGGCAGCTGAGGATAGCGATATTTTCCTAAGCCTCTTCACTCCCGCATTGGATTTGAGTTTATCGAACATTTTCTTTTTGCAAATAAATATCAGAAAAATAAATACACCTAAAACAAAAACAAAAAATAACTGTTTGTCTATACATAAAAATAACTATTCTTCGACAAACTTTCTTAATTTTTATTAAAGGACCACGCACGGATCTTATGAGAAAAAATAAATTTCACGATTGTCATGAAATTGGAATATGTTATGCTTCTCGACCTCCTGAACGTAATTTTTCATAGGCCCAAAAAGATCCTATGATTAGTTTCGGAGATACAGGACCGATAAAAAAAAGTAGTACAAAAAAAATCTCCAGGATCTGCTGGTACAATAATTTAATTCATAACCAAAAATGACATGTTTTTGGCATTTTTCGACAAGTTTTCAACCTTCAAAGTTTCAGATGACATTACTTTGGCATTTTTCCACCCGTTTTTAACCTAGAATATGTCATTGCCTGAACATATTTTGAAATGTTTATTTTTTGTCAAAATTTTGTTAACCTGGCCCTGTATCTCCGAAACTAATCATAGGATCTTTTTGGGCCTATGAGAACTTACGTTCAGAAGGTCGAGAAGCATAACATATTTCAATTTAATGACAATCGTGAAATTTGTTTTGTGCGTGGTCCTTTGAGTCTTTTGAATCGTATACAATACATAAGTAGATTATTTACCTTGAAGACAATTGATAATATCCCAAACGATTTCTAAGTATTTGGTAGGTCTTGTCTGGTTGAATTCGTAAAATGAAGAAACTACTTCAAATATGTAGGACAAACCCATAATGACTGAAAGTTTTGTGACTAGCATGAATCTGAAAACAAGAAATAACCATTTTTCTGGCACAAAGAAACATAAGGCAAGTTTTTAGATTCATCAATCAATCAAGGGGCAACCTATCCTTGTTTTGCTGCTGTCAAATGACAAGGACAACAATACATCGGTGAAAATGCGCATGTGACATTGATGATTTTGAAAACTTGCCCATTGATTAATATTATTAAGAATTAAGATCGACCCAATTATTATTCCGATAAAAAAAATGCAATATTTATTTGCGTGATAGGAAATTAAGCATTTTCTCCTATTGATTTTTATTTGGCCTCGTCAGGGGACAAAAATGTACGGAAAATTGTTTTTAAAACTAACTGAATTTACTCACCGTTCTTTGTTTACCAAAAATTTATTATTTCTACCATGTTGATTATTATCGGTCATTTTTCGAATTTCGTTTTTGACATCAATACAGCATTTTACTGTTCTGTAAAACAAAACCAAATTGATGATTTGAAGAATCGTTACTGGCACGGTCCTGAATAGGAGATCTGCGTAATTTCCATTTTCTGAAAGTGATTTTAAGAAAAAATACAAACATCAAACATAAAATCCTGACAATTATTCGATTATCTCATTTCCTATGGCCAATATTTCCTAATAATAAATCCATATTTTCATGGATTTGTCTCATCGTCAGGAAAATACTCATCATGTTTTGTGTTGAAAATAAATTCCGATTTTACAAATTGAATATAAAATTTCGAAATAGCGTGTGGTTCTCGTATGACGAGTGTTTTCCATCTATGAAAAATCACAGAATTAATGGAACATGGTATGGAAATAATTATCTGTTAACTAGTTAAAACGTATAGTTGCCTCTGTTGGCTTGATATTTTTTTAATTAAATCACCCCTTCAACATATTTTTGTTGATTTATTTTTCAAAAAAAAATATTTCGTACGCTATCCATTAAAATTTGTAAAAAAAACAAATACTAAACAAATATTTTGTTTTTAGGCTGAACATATTTTGCTTTTCGTTTATTCTTTCTTTTTTTTATGTTATTTCAGCAGCAAGCCATTTTTTTTTTAAATTGAGCCTAACCGGTTTTTGTTTTCGGGACTGGTTTACGAACTTTTCGGAAATCGGACTAACTGGGAATTCGAATCTACACCCTTCTTGTGTAAGAATCGTATTAAGTGTTTGCTGAGAAATGTCGGAGTGGCTTTACGAAATCGGAAACCAAAGAACCACCTTCAAGCAATCGGAGTATTGGACCAAAATATCCAATACTCGTTAGGACCAGGATTGATTTGGAAAGATAAACATAGTCTGCCAGAAAGTGTTGGCCTTATAAATGTTGCTCTACGGAATAATTTTCATGTAAGTGCAATGCGCAATAACGACAATCTTAAACAATACATGTCAGCCAATAATATTAGATCTTGCACGACCAGTTGAAGTGAAACCATTTAATAGAGAAGAAATAGAACAAATTAATCTAAATAATTTTGTGGCTCCAAATTACGATACTGATAATTTTGACTATAATTAAATTCGCACAGATCACCTTAACTCAGAAGAGAGAGCCACAATAATTAAATTATGTAGAGAATTTCATACATCTGTCAAAACTGGTATTCCAACAATAAATTGACATGTTTTGATTGTTGATTTGAACCAATCAGATTGTAATTATGCGATAATTTGCACTAGTGCAAATTATCAGATAATTGCATACTAACTGGTGCGAAAACTGGTGTTTTGACATTTTTTGACAAAAAATTTAAATTTTTGATTTATGAAATTCTCTCATTAAATACAACTCGTGCAATGGAAATATATTTCTAATTTTCGACAAATTTGCACTCATGCGTTTTTAACTGAAAAAGGCAATCGTGCACTACGTGCACTCGTGCTCTTTTTCACCTAAAAACGCATTCGGGCAAATTTCCCAAAAATTATCAATAATTTCCATTGCACTAGTTATATTACTATTGATAATATCCCTATAAATAATCTAGAAACCTCCGATGCGACCAAAATTTCACAATATTTTTTTTTAAGAACTGATGAAGGACATAACCTTTCCCCTGAAACAAAATATTCGGACATATTTTACTAAGAAAACATGCCATTGACATTCACAAGCGAAATGAAACACTCTATAAAAAACGACATATGAACAGCCTGTAAATACAAAAACATATAGGTACCCATTGATTCATAAGCAAGAGGTCGAATCGCAAATAAGAAAAATGTTGGACCTGAATATTATACACAATTCTCCTTAGTCTGCACCTATTTGGGTAGTTCCAAAAAAGGCAGAAGCTTCTGGGAAGCAGAAATGGAGAGTAGTTATTGAAATCACAGGCGTCAATGCAAAGACCCTGCCAGATAGATACCCTCTTCCTAATATCACGGACCTCCTAAACAAATTGGGGAAGTGCCAATACTTCACAACCCTAGATTTGGCTAATGGCTTCCAACAAATACAAATGAGTGAAAAGGAAATTGAAAAAACGGCATTTAGTACAGAAAATGGCCATTTGGAATTTTTGAGAATGCCATTCGGGCTCACCAACGCCCCAGCGATCTTTCAAAGGATCATGAACGGCATCATACGAGGAATCCGAAACGAAAAGTGCCTAGTTTACCTTGATGACATTATAGTTTTTTCGTCGTCATTGCAAGAATACCTAGAGCGATTAGAAACTGTATTCCAAAGATTAAAAGAAACGAATTTTAAGATTCAATTAGATAAGAGCGAGTTTCTAGGGCACGAAGTAGCCTACTCAGGACACATTGTAACCCCTGGAGAAGTACGTCCCAACCCAGATAAAGTCAACGCAATCAAAAACTATCCCATACCAAAAACAATGAAGCAAATAAGGGGATTTCTTGGACTACTAAGTTATTATCGACACTTCATCAACAAGTTCACAAAATTAACAAAAGCACTAACAAAATGTTTGAAAAAGGAAGCCAAAATTGAACATAACCCAGATCAATGAACAATTGTCTCGAAAAATGTAAAAAACTATTAACAAATAAAGCGATATTACAGTACCCGGACTTTTCTAAAACTTTTAATTTGACCTGTGACGCTAGCAGTAGCGCTAGGCGCCGTACTGCCGCAAGGGCCTATAGGTCAGGACTTGCCAATAGCATACGCATCACGTACGTTGAACGATTCGGAATAAAACCACTCTACCTACCTACGAGGAGGAATGTTTGTACCTAGTGTGGGCGACAAAATATCTCAGGCCATACCTGTATGGACGAAAGTTTAACATCATAACAGACCATAAGCTCTTTCAATGGCTGTTTAACGAAAAAGATCCCACTTCAAAATTAGTACGATGGCGAATAAAATTACAAGAATTCGACTACTAAATAACATAAAAAAAGGAAAACTTAACACAAATGCTGACGTGCTAAGTCGCATTGAGTTACACCGTTGGTAACACACAAAAGGCGCCGCCAACATCTCAAGTTTAGTCTCGTACATAGAAAAATTTGATGCGCAACTTGAGCAAAATGCACCTCATGTACGAAAAACGAGAATAACTAAGACCTAATTTCAACAATGGATATGGCACAACCCGACCTTGACCCACTAGCAGACGAAGACGACAACGAAACCGTACATACAAATAATGAACAAGATCCCATAGTGTGATTTCCCTAAAGCGTTTGACTGCGTCATTTGGAGCACGAAGAATAACTTATGGTGTTATTGAGATCTTCAACAGGTTGCCAGACAAAATAGGGGGTGTGGAAGACTATAAAAAATTTAGAAAAAATTTAAAGAGATTTCTGGAAACCAAAACCTATTACAGTCTTGAGGAATTCTACTCAGACTGATCTTTTAATCTTACTCAGACTGATCTTTTAATCTTTTACTGTGACTTTTGAACTGTGATTCCTAAACTGTGATATTTCCAATTTTTCAATTACTAAATTATTTATTTCAATGGGCTTGAACTGATTCATGTAGTGTTTGACTTTGTTTATAGTGATGATTGTTTCTGAAAATATTGCTACCATTACATCATCGGTTCTGTGTTGGATTTGCTGAGGTATCTGGACGCTATCAAATCTAGCCAATGATAATGTTTGTCAGAATTGATTATTATTATTTTAAATATTACTGGTACGCAACTCAGTCTGTCAAGATTGCCAGTTGCTTCAAGACTCGTTTTAGTACTTTTATAATAACTTTCTAATTAAAGTTAAAATACATCTAGTTTATTATTGAATCGTCGTTCGAGTATTCAGCTGTAAAAACTCTAGTGATTTTGCATCTGTTTGGAGTTTGGACTTGAAAAAACTGGCAGTATATTTCATTTAGTGTTGTGACGTGACTCTCGTGTAACCGTGTTGCTGAATTCAGTCGCGGAACGGTGGGTGCCGAAAAAAAAGGCTTAAGGATTTTGAAAATTGAATTGTTGGGATTTTTCTGGTATTTTGTACAGAACAAAGTCAAAAATGGACCAACTCAAGCCTCCGAATATGTTATGTACTGAACGGGATGTGGCTATTAATTTTCAAAAGTGGAAACAACAATTTGAAATTTATTTTCTGGCCAGTGGCATCCTGGACAATACGAAAATTACGGATGAAAGGAAAGTTGCTATTTTGTTGCAATGCCTGGGACTAGAGGGACAAGACATTTATAAAACGTTAGAGATTTCTCAGGAGGATAGGAAAAAATGGGACAAAGCTATGGAACACTTGGAAAATCATTTTAAGCCCAAAGAGAATGAAACAATAAATAGACACTTGTTTCATAGTAGAAAACAAAAAGAGGATGAATCGGTTGATCACTGATTTGAAAAAATTAAGCATCAATTGCAACTTTGGAGATCTCCGAGACAGTCTCATAACAGACAGAGTAGTATGTGGAATTTCAGACCACAGAGTGAGAGATTCCTTACTACGTGAGGCAAGTTTAGATTTGACCTAGGGTATCTCCATTTGCAAGGCTGCTTAATTAGCTGGAATGCGATCAAAGCAGTTGAATCAAGAAGCGTTGACGGAAGTTAATGCTATCCGTAGACAAATAGACAGAAGGAAAACAACAAAAAAGAAGACGAAAAATGGAAAAAAACGAGGTGATCAAAAAGAATGTAAAGAAAAATGTAAGTCATGTAGTTGGATTCATGGTATCAAATGCCCGGCGTACCGAAAAAAGTGTAGAAATTGCAATGATTAGAACCATTTTGAAAAAATGTGTCCTAAAAGAAGAAATGTACGTGTGTTTCAAAGTCAAGAGAGTGACCATAAAGTTGAGAATGACTCGGAGAGTGATGATGATGATTTCTTTGTAAGAGCAATTACCAATGAAACAAAATAATAATTGATATCGTTCCATGAGAGCAAGACAAATTACCGAGGAATCGAAGAAATCAAGCGACGAATTAAGGAAAAATATTATTGGCCCAACTTAAAAGAATCCATTCAATCATTCGTCAATGAATGTGAAATTTGCCAACGTAGCAAATACGAACGACACGCAATAAATATGGAATGAACAACTGCAAAAAAACCATTTGACATCATCCACCTTGATACATACACTCTCGATAAGGTTAAATTTCTCACCATAATAGACAGTTTTTCTAAATATGCCCAAGCTTATGCCCTTAAAGCTTTATCCACTACCGAAATATGTGATAATCTCATATCCTTCTTTTCACATCATGGCATTCCATCGAAAATAATCACAGACAATGGAACTGAGGTCAAAAATACTGTTCTTACTGAATTACTTCAATTCAACTTCACAAAGTAGAAATACATTTTTGTTCTCCTGAACACCCTCAATCGAACGGCGTAATTGAAAGACTTCACTCAACCTCATCTGAGAACATAAGAATTTTTAACAATCAAGGATTCCTCAAAACGCCAATTACCCAAAAAATTAAACATGCAATCTTAGCATACAATCATACGATCCACACTGCAACCAAAAACAAGCCCAGTAACATAATCACAGGACACATTAGTCCCAATGATCCATTCGATCTAAAGTTAGATCAACTTCTAATAACAGATTACGTCAACGAGCAAAAAAATAAAACAAAATGTTTGTATTCCAACATAAACGAGCGTCTTATGGATACAAAAAATAAAATAATTGGCAAAATCAATGAAAATCGTGAAAAGCTAACATTATGTAGACCAGAACAGGAGATACCTATATGTAAAGAAAAAGAAACATATACGCCAAAAATTAGGAGACAAATTTTAACCAGCCACACAAATAGAGACCGTTGACCCTACACGGAATACCATAACGACGGACACTCTAGGCACGAGCATATGGACAATATCAAACGGCCTCCAAGGAACAAATATAGTTTTGATACTTAAGTTAATTTCAATAAATAATAAATATATTAATATTGGTGTAACAAAACGGCCTAGAAATCCTTTTTTTTTTGCTTCGTAATACAATTAATTGGCTTTTTTACCCAGCGAGATTAAGTCGCTAAATTTCTGACAAAACCGTGTCAAGAGCCAAGGGTTATCAGTCGGTTTCCGAAAGAGCGTGATGACTGTGTCTTAAAACATGACTCTCGACTCCTAGTTCCATGAACAATTCGCATGTCTTGCGACCGATAAGAATCCCAAATACGTCATCAAGCTGCCAATATAAAGAGGCTTGTGAGCCTCCTAGATTGATTCAATTCTGTAACGAAGTTCTGGTGTTTAGTGTTGACGTCTTTCAGTTGACTCTCCTTCCGAGACCTTAGGTAATGTTTCGATTTCAAGTATTATAGTTTATTCGTCATGATTGTTGTTTTCTGTCTATTATTTATTTTCTCCCCTGTGTAAAGAACAAAACCATTGGGTTAGCTTCACAACTTAAATCTCTTTTCCAACATGTATCTTACCCTGAATAACAAGGCCGTTTTGTCATTCTCTTATCGAGGATGCCCGCGACTTCTACCATAAAAATTATAACCTAGTCTTTATTTTCTGTATTTTTTAATCTTTAATTTCTCATGTAACTTGTACCATCAAGGAACGCCCTATACAAGACGCTCATTAATTTCACTACCTATCATTCCAAAAGCTCTGTATGTAATTTCTTCCATTTCATTTCAGTATAACTTGTTAATAACTTAATGTATATTCTCTCACTGTCTTACCAAGTTTCACCAGTTGTTCAATAAACCATTGTTAGAGTTTAGTAAGAAAAACGGATTATTTTATTTCTTTTGGAAACCCCCGAGCTAGCATTCCAACTAACTGCGTACAGCTCAGGTAGCAAGAACCCGCACTAGAAAAGGCGATCTAATCAGATTAAAAGAATCCATTCAAAGTTACATAGATTTTCAGTGGGACTTTAAGCAAAGTTCCTGGTGGCACGCTACCGCAGTACAAAAAGGGCCTTTACCAGTGCTAAAACAAAGTCTCCCTCTCCCTTAACCAACCGTCGCAACCAGGTGGCGGTGGTAACATTGGTACTAATAAATATGAATATTATAACCTCACGCTTACGCTTACTAATCTTTATTTCAGCTTTTTAACCATGCATTCGGAAACCAAGAGCAAATCTCCATAAGAAAATTGGACGATAATCCTGGAATTATTCCAGTGAAACTTGGAAATGCAAAAATTAGAGACTACACCTACACATTAATACATTACTATGACCTAAATCCCATACTTATCGAAATTAACAAACTACACTCTAAATCCAATAACATTACTAATATGCTTAATAGACACAAAGAGTATTCTGAAGATATTGGCAATTATATCAAATTAATTAAACTAATAGAAATAAGAGTAGATAACAAAATTAAAAAAGTAATTCCCCAACCACAAAGAACAAAAAGAGGATTGATTAACGGCCTAGGTCAATTTTCAAATCCGTAACAGGAATTCTCGACGCTGACGATGGTAAGCGTTATAAAAATCTTATGAGGGAACTACAAGGAAATCATAAGAATTTGCAAGCACATATTTTTAACTGTTATTGAAAAATTCAATACGACGATAAAACAAATAAATTGTAATGAGAAACTCCTAGAATCAAAAATCAATCAAATCGCACATATAAGTAGAGAAATCTGCTTATAGAGAAAATTCTCTTTATATCAAAGACCTAATTAATCTAATTATTAATGTCTACGAAATAATAGATCCAATACTACAGGATGTCGAAAACTCTAACTTTTTCAAAGTTAAAAATTATGCATCCTAGCATAAAGAGAATTGAAGATCTCTGTACAGAACTAATTAAATTACAAAAACAACTAAGTAATGAACAAATGCCTTTAGCAGTCAATGTTGAGAACATCCTTTTGTATGAAAAAATAATCAAATTAGAATAATTTGTTCTTAACAATAAAATAACTGAGCTTTCGAATATTTCCACCTATATTCAATATCAATCAAAAGTTAGAGTCAGTTTAAGGTAGTCCTTCCACAAAATAAATATATTGTAAAAAACGGATTGCACTACGCACATTGTGGCCAAGAATGCCAGGAAATCCTTCCTGAATTTGCAAAAAAGAAGAACTCCAAGAACTTCAAGACAACAGCAAATGTGAAATAAAGCTACTGAACTTTGAAAAAGACACTTCTACTTGCAAGCCAACCAAAGTCAAAATCACACAACCAATAATCAATCTAGTGGACAAATCCAATCAATGAGTATTCGTCCTTCCAGCTAAAGTACCTATCGAACTCAAGTGCTTTGGAGAAGAAGAAATCAGAAAAGTTATTGGAACTTTTCGAGTCCATATACAAATCAACCAGTTGCCAAATAACTATCTCTTCGAGACTAATAATCAACGAGAGGAAGCTTCTGAAATTTGATGCTCAACCTATACTATTCCCCGACCTTCCAAATCTATCTGAATTAATGCATTCCCTAAATTTAGCTACACACTTGAAAAACATAAAATTGGACAATCTCCACCAACTAGCTAACGAGATCGTAGAAAACCGTTTGACATTTCGTGAAGTCAGAAGACTACCCAGTTTGGGAACCATTCTGCTGGGTGTGCTGTTCTTGCCTATGAGAAAATAGCACCGAAGAAGAGACAACCATCCTGAAGAAGAAGCCCAACCAGTCAAACTTCCCCGCCTAGCATGAAGTTGCATCCTAAGAAGGGAGGAGTAATGTCAGCCCTATTTGCTGACTATACACATAATCTGCTTAACTCGCTTTTCTATAATAAAAATATCGCTGCTCGTGTAGAATAGTCGTTCACGAATTACTCGTTATCGGCTTACGGCTTGATAACTTATGTAAATCCCATCAAAATTTGTATTGGTTCAGGTAAAATTTAACTCATTTGAAATTTGGATAGGTATATGTAATAATTCCAGAGCTAACATCGCGTTAAGCAATGTCTGGTGAATTCTTCCATTTTTCAAATTCCTGACGCCCTACTAAGGTGATGATTTAGATTTTTGAAAACATTGAATAACCATTACCATTACTTTGTATCTATTAGAAAGAAAGCTGAAATTTTCAGCGATTCTTATCCTATAGTAGAGGACTATAATCCCTGAAATTTTCAGCTTATTTGGACTTATAATTCTAGAAATAAAATCATGTTAAACAATGTGGGGTGAATTCTTAAATTTTTCAATTTCCTGACGTCCTTTTTTTAAACATTTTGAGATTTCGGCTTCAAATTTCAGAATAATTCAGAGTATGGAATTTGGGTGATACCAAATGATCATTTAAACACAAAATCTCGATATAAAAAAATTTGAAATTCCATCATTTAAATATTTTAAATTGGACCTACCACTTTTCTTTAATGGTTTTATTAACTAATTATTACCTCTTTCTATTGCGCACCGTGTAAATCCCATCATAATTTGTATTGGTTCAGGTAAAATATCGGTAAAAAATAATATCAAAGGAATAATGGTTAACACCAAAGCAAGTCCCCAACCATAAAGGGAATAAAACCAAAATCGTTTCAAGTGACTATTTGATGGCTTGTTTTGCACTTTTCCGGATCTAAAAACAAACATTTGTATTTTTATTTGTTTACTAGCACACAAATAATATCCACTTACCCGAACGTATAATAAATGTCAAAACATAATAATTTAAGCCACAGGAACGTGCCGAATTCGCCGTACAACAGTAGGAATCCTGTATATTTGAAAAATAAAGTTAATATATTTTTGAATACTATTGTTTTGACTCACCTAATGTGTAACACACCTCAAGTTTTTCCTTAATATCGTCCAAATTAAAAGTGCTGTAGATGAGTACGAGAAAATTAAGCGCTAGGCAAACGCTAAAACTAACCAGAGTTTTGCCGAATAGCTTTTTGGTTTCTCCGAAGCAAATATAAAACATGATGGTTAATATTAGGAAAACGGTTGACACTATCATTACGTAGCCGTTGATGAAATATTTTTCTTCGATTTGGGTTTTTGGGTACATTCTAAAAATAATTTTTAAGTTGAGTCTGGTAGCTGAAACTTTACTGTGCTGCAATAGTCCAATGAATTTGAAACCAACGGAAGCGAATTTTCTAGACAACTCTACAATTAACAGCTTGGTATAAAACGGAGTCGGGCATTGCAAGGAGAAGAAAATGATAAATTAGATGGTGCGCTGTGTCATGATTCAGTTAGTGGTGAATTGATCGCGAATAAGTTACGCGAGTCGATAGTAAGATAGTGAGTTGTCATTTAATTTTGTGACTAGTTAAGCTCTATTGTAGATTTGTCCTGATTTTTGTGTTATTGTCTTAAATAAAGTTAAGTTAATTTTGGAACAGTATGTTCGACTTATCATATTGTAATGTTAAGCAAATGGATTCGCAGATAAGTGAAGTAACGTGCTGCAAAAATCCGGTCGAATAAAAAAAAATTGCATTTATTTCGACGTATCACTGTTCTGATATCATCAAATTGATAGTGAAGGTTACATGCCAACGCAGTGGTCTTGACGTTGAATTAGGACAACTAACTTCCAGGTTTTTTTGGAGCACCGGCTAGCGATTTTAATTTCCATTTGTTCCATGTTATAAAAGTGCCAATACTAAGAGTACAATCACTTTACGGATATCAAGAAATTCTTTGAAACAACAAATATCAACAAAAAAAAAACAAAATCCAAAACAAATGCATGAAAAAAGTAAAATACAGATTTTGACCTGAGAAATTCCCTATGCAAACCATGGCAAAACACCAATTGGAAATAAATGCTACAATTTTTTAATCAAATTTCACTCAATTGATAAAGCCATAGTTCAACTTAAGTTGCATTATATTCCCAATAAAGCTATCAAAACAGTAAGGAAACAAAATGAAAATAGTTTTGTTATTTTTAGTTTTTGCTATTGTTGAATTTGGGAAAGATGTAGAAAGTTACAGAATTTTGGGCGTATTGCCTATGGCTGGTAAAAGCGTAAATATATTGTACAACAGATTAATGACAGGATTAGCCGATGCTGGGCACGATGTTACTGTTATAGGTGCATACGAAAATAAACGTAAAATTAAAAATGGTACTTTTACTGATATCTTGCTCACCGGATTTGTTGAGCGATATGAAGGTAATATTCGAATTATTTTAATGTGCATGAAATATAATAATATAATACCTTTTCCTAAAATTGTGATAATTATTCACTAAAAACACACTCAAAGGATCAAATTAAGTTTTTTATGATAAAAGTTAATAAAACCATTTCTTTTCCAGCTATGCTGAATGCATTTGACATGTTCGGCACCCCTACAACTTCGCCCATTTGGGAAAATTATAAACTTCACAAATTATTTATTCACACCCACAATGATACCTTTTGGCACCCAAACGTGCAAACATTTCTGAAAGAAAATCACAAATTCGATTTAGTGATAACAGAGTATTTATGGAACGATTCCCTTCTAGGATTTGCCGCAATTTATAATTGCCCGTTGGTCGTTTTTACTAGCATGGGTGGCGTTAATCCTTGGGTAAACGAAATGGTTGGTAATCCTATGCCCATTTCGTATGTGCCGCACTTTCACGCTGATAAAGGTGCTTTCAAAGATATGGGATTTTTAAAGAGAGTACATAATTTCTTGTACTATTTATATGATCCGATACACAATTATTTTATTAGCTGGCCAGATCATAGTGAGATAGTGAAAGGCGTATTTAAAAATCCTCCAGATGTAGCTGCACTCTACTATAGTCCATCCCTAATATTGTTAGGTTCTCATTCCAGTTTGCGTCAAGCTGTACCATTGGCACCAAATATAGTTGAAATTGGTGGGTTCCACATTGAACCCCCTAAAAAATTATCTAAAGACTTACAGGACTACTTGGATGGAGCTAAAGATGGTGTCATTTACTTTAGCATGGGGTCACATGTCAAGAGCAAAGATTTTAGCGAAGAAAAGAAAAAAATATTTCTGGACGTATTTGGTGAGTTGAAATTGAAAGTTTTGTGGAAATTTGAAGATGAAGTATTGCCTGGAAAACCAGATAATGTTCGCATAAGGAAATGGTTGCCCCAAATGGATATTTTAGGTATGCGCATTTATATCTAAATTGTCTTATTTCAAACTGACTAATTCCAGCCCATCCAAATATCAAATTATTCATCACCCATGGTGGTTATGGTAGTACTTTAGAAACCGTTTATCATGGAAAACCAGCACTCATGATACCAGTATTCGGTGATCAATTGAGCAACGCTCAAGAAGCGACACATCAAGGCTACGCCCTAAGTATCCCATATAACGACAAAAACTTTTCAAATGCTACCATGTCTTACATGATCAATGAAATGCTGACTAATGCAAAATACACAGAGCGGGCCAGAGCTATTTCGCGAATTTTCCATGACAGACCCATGAAACCTTTAAAAACTGCCATTTATTGGATAGAGTATGTCATTAGACATAAGGGTGCTGATCATTTGAAACTGGCTGGGAGAAGGCTGCCTTGGTACAAGTTTTATATGGTGGATGTGATTGTATTTTTGATTTCAGTACTGGCTGCTGTAATTTATATGCCTGTACGATTAGTTAAAAGTTTGATGAGGATTAAGGATACTAAAGTAAAACGAAGTTAGTGAAATGTAGATTTTAAGTAAATGTTTTCGATATGAATTTCAGTGTTTTATTTATAAATTTACAATTATCCAAGATGGACTTTTCATGTTTAACCCATATCTTGCAATCTTTATTTTGTCAGGTCTGTCCTCGGTCAATACAATCCACGACGTTCCTGAAGATGAACCGATAAATTAGGCAAGGGAAAGTAATTGAAAGTAAGACTAAAGTGGGAATCAAATGACAGATTCATCTAAAAAACATTATTTTGGCCGCACACAGTTTCGACATCTTTATATTTCCTGATCAGGTCAACTTATTTCCTATAGTGCAGTAACGTCCATCTTCAGCCGCTCAGTTTTTTTTATTTACCTGGCCCCTGCACCCGGCTTGTACCATCTAAGTGCAAACTCAGTTATCTTCTATAGCGGTAACAACCAAAACGTACATACATCAATTCGGTACCGGCTGTTCAATTAGGAAAGACCTGCTGGGCTCAGTCCTAAAATTTGTACCCCTGAGCAAATGATTATGGTACCTAAGGATGAAAGGAGTATTCTATAACTACTCCTTACTGTCTGTACACGCACCAACCGAGGACAAAAATGAAGCAGTGAAGGACGAGTTCTACGACACCCTGGAGAGTAAATAAGGCGCACTACCTGAACAGGATTAAGCGGCATTAAGGCTCCACGTGGTTTTTAAAAGCCTACACATATTATGTTCACGTCGTAATTGATGCAAGGCAAGGAAGTAACGTCCTGGATGTAAGAAACTGTCGAGGGACAGACGCGGACTCGGACCATTTTCATGTTAGAGCAAAGCTGAGAATCAGAATATCAAGCTGAAAAAATATACAAGTCAAACAAGATCAACAATGGCATACAGCAAAACTAGAAAACGAAGAAATCAGAAGGCGTTTCTAGGCGGAAATAGAACACCGAAGCCAGGAAATTAGACAACTAAGAAGAGAGGAACCTTTCTCTCTCTGTGTGGTCTTATAACTGGATCTAAATTATTATATTAATAATCTGAATCTGCATCAACTTCGAGTAAAATTTCTTCTGAATCATTCTCTTCTTCTGAATAATTATATTCCACACCATTTTCTTCTTCTACTCGTTCTTGTTCAACTTCATCAAAGAGGACAAAGTCTTTTTGTTCCTTTCTGTGTTGTTCTTTTCCAAAATTTTGCTACCTTTTTCTTGTTCAACAAATTGTACATCTCTGGAGAGAAATACTAAGGTTTTCTGTGATTCATAAAGCCTTCGAGTCCAAACTATAACCAACAAAGATACTTCTTTCTGTTTCGGCTCGGAATCTGTGCATATGCTTTGCATCCAAAAATCCTTACATGAGCAACACTTGTTTTTGTTCCAGTTCTGAGTTCATACAGTGTCTTTTGGATACATCGACTAGGAATTCTATTGAGTAAGTACACAGATGACGTGTTACTGCCTCTGCCCAAAAAATGTGTGGTAAACCAGCCTCTACCAGAAGACAATGAGATTTTTTCTAGAATTGAACGATTCAACTTCTTGGCTTTATCATTCTGCTCAGGTGTATAAGGAACTGTAAGCTGATGTTGTATTCCAGCTAAAATTCGAGAGAGCTCAACATTACAGAATTCTTTTCCGTTATCGGTACGGAGTATTTTTATTTTTTGCAATGATTGCTGCAAAATTCTGAAATTTCTCAAAATATTCTGTGATTTGACTTTTATTTTTGAAAAAATAAACAAAAATATAGTGAGTATAATCATCCAGAAGTGTAAATATGTACCTTGAGCCAGAAAATGAATCCACTTGCATTGGTCCACATAGATCAGAGTGTACCAGCTCCAAAGGTTTTGATGATTCTGTCTTACTATCCTTGAAAGGTAATCGGTGCATTTTACCCATCACACAACTTTCACATACAAAGCCTAAGTCAAATTTGTCTGTGTAATCAACACCATGAACAAGACCATTTTCCATTTTTTTAAGATTCACTGTATTCACATGTCCTAGCCTGAGGTGCCACAAATTGCATTTTTTCTCTCTTGCTTCTGACAATAAGGCTTCCTGTTGCGAACTGGCATCCAATTTAAACAAATTATTGCATAAACTATCTGTTGCAATAAGTTTTTCTTGTGAATTATATATTTTAGCATCTTTTGGAATAAAAATTACAGTACTACCTCTGGCAACAATCTTACTAACAGACAGTAAAAAAACTTTCAAATTTGAAACATATTTATCACAATTTGATGCAAAATGACCATACTTGTTGCAAGAATAACAACTGGGCCTTTAAAACCTTAGCCCTTTTTCTGATTATTCCATGAAGACTTATTTCCTTTAGAATAATTTTTGTTCTTACTTGCACCATACATTGCCACTGTATTTTCAGGTCCTTTAACCGCTGAAACATTTTGCAGGAATTTTGTTTTTATTGAGTGACCTGTTACTGCAGTGCCCATGATCATAGGCTGATAAGACTCCGGTAAACCAGCAAGTTAAATTGTGCCTACCCATTCCAAGAGCTGATAATTTGTTGGCTGTAGTTATGATCGTGTTAACATATTATTCAACAGAACTGCAACCTTCCCTTCCAAAGTTGTTGTTATAAAAAAACGCAAAAGTCCTACACGACGCGTTACCCCGAATATTGAAGAGCCTTTTCAGGATTGTCCCAAGCTTCTTTCGCTGTTTTGGATGACTGCATATGAACAGTGCACCCAAAAGTATTATTTTTGCACGAGCTTTAGTCACATTTTGGATCAGTCTCTGAATCTTCAACTGCATTCCACAATTCTTCGTGTTCCAAATAAAACCGGAGTCTCATGCATCCATTTTCCGTCATCCGATGATACGACGGAACTCCTATCGTATAGGTGTTTTACGTTATATTTAGGATGACGTCAGAGAACAAGGAATGACAATGTTGTCAATGCCTATTTGTTTTCTTATAATTTACCAGAATGTCATAATGAATTATCACAACCACTGACAGCTAAACATAACGAAATGAATCGACACGAGTTATTTATTTGAAAATGTTCAGTTAAATCATGCAACATCGCACGCCGTTGCCATCCAGAAACATCTGAAATTCCCCTACTTTAAATGCGTTAGGAAGTACTTTTAGTTTTGTCAGATTTGCAGCAGAAATTTACTAAATGTGACGTCATCCTAAATATAGCGTGAAAATCCTATATGAAAACATGTCAGAATAGAAGGTTTTTCGAACATCGGACGTCGGAAAACGGATGCATGAGACTCCGGCTTTACTCTGTAGCGCGAATTTCCACATATCGTAATAGGGTACTTGCATGGAAAATTAAATTGATTATTGTTTATTGCAAACTGTAGGAAATCGAAAAAAAATCGTTACTTTTTTTTTATTCCGCCCAAATATGATTATTCCGGAAGTTATACAAATATTAAGTTTTTTATATATAGATATATTGAGCATGTGCGACGTCACAATTCACAACGTATTATACCTAAGTTATGACGTCGGAAGGACATTTAAAAGCGTTGTATCTCCGTCAATTTTTGACTAACAAGAAAAAGAAAAAACACGTGTTGACTTATTTTTCATGGACTATTGAAATCAGCAATAAAAAAAATTGATGCAAGGGGCCTAGCTGATTTATGCTTACAATATTGTACAAAAACAAAGTTCTTCGGTTCTCGCGATGTAATTTAACAGAATTCAATTAAGCCCCAACTTATAGCGAAGAAACTCTAATTAATACACACGATGCTCACGCCAAAAATAACATCGTGACAACTATTGTAACATTGCAAATGCTACTTGCTCTTTTTTCTTTCAAAAATAATTTTATATTACCTTTAATGTTGACAGTCTGGTGACTAGCATTAAAAAAAAAATTCTGCTGATAATAATATCAGCAATTATTAAACTAGAGGGCACGATTTTCTTTTAAATTTGAAGTACCAGTTTAATACCAACACTTTCCGTTGGTTATTTTTTGAAAGGAAGCTCTGCCTGTAGAGATTGTCCGTTTCTTCGTCCCTTTTTATTCTTGCCGTTGCCCTGAAAGGTCAAGCCTGGCTTGGGGGCAGCATCTACCTCAAGTGAGAATACCGTTTTCGTGGAATAAAGTACCTTATCAGCCATCAAACATTATCTTAACGAAATAAAGTTGCGTAAGGCAATAGTCCGTTAATTACCGAAAAAATTTAAATCAAAAGTCTTGGGATCACCGTTTTATTCAAGTTTTAATTTCGAACCCCGAAGGCCTCTATTACTTAGGGTTTTCCGAGGAGCCATTTCTCTCAACAAATCAATTTCCATAAGGGCACATTTTCAAAAAAAACATCATTTCCGTAAAGCGTGGCATAGAGCTTTTGAAGGGATTCCTACAGGAATCAAGTCCCTCACAAGTCGATACGTGTACACCCACATCTGACGAAGAAAACGGAAAACTGAACTTCTAGCTTTTATTCCAGGCTAGAATCTGCAACTTTCCTCGTCAAGTGGCCGAGAATGAGTTTCCTTTATAATATTTATTATATTTTTAATGAAATCCACTTTATGATCAATTAACAAAATTAATTGTTTTTTTTTTCAATTTCATATTCTTGACACCTAAGTGAACTTTGAATAATTATTTCCGATTGTTGATTTACCGTATTTACTCTACTTAACTTTTAGTACCGCCATATTCAAAGAATGTACCTACTTATATTTTATCAATGATAATCAATCAGTAATCTAAACAGAAGTCAAGGTTGGACAACATACTCTAAATTTAAAATTATTGAGTAAGTACCTTCATCGTCAAAAATTGATCAATTTTTAACCCTGGGTCCTATAACTTATATATTTGAGGATTTCTATTATATCTCCTGATCATTTAACCCAACTTTCGAAGTTGGCCATATTTATCAATACAATTTGTAATAATTTATTTTTTTTAATCAATTTTCTGGAAACTAAAATATTCATATTTTCATTTCATGATAATATCCGATGAAACTGATTGATAGTTAACCTCTATTTATTGATTTTATCTAAGGTGTTTTACCAGCAATTGATTTTATACT